TCTTCTTCTTCTTCTCGTCTTCGTCTTCTTCGTCTTCGTCTTCTTCTTCTTCGTCTTCGTCTTCGTCTTCATCTTCGTCTTCTTCTTCTTCTTCTTCTTCTTCTTCTTCGTCTTCGTCTTCTTTTTCTTCTTCGTCTTCTTCTTCGTCTTCGTCTTCTTCTTCGTCTTCTTCTTCGTCTTCTTCCTCTATTTTTCACCAAATCCCATTTATGGTGATGAAAAAATGGGTTCATCCCCCACCGGTAACACACCATTTTACTCTTCCACCATTTTTGGTGGAAAATTGTGTTTTTGGTCTTCAATGGGTTTCACCAAAATTTAGACCAAATATTAAAATAATAATATTTCACCACTTATAGGAAATGTGATTTGGTTTGGTCTCCCATGACATTTTACCATATATGCCCCAAAAATGTAAATCTAATGTTAATCGGAATTTTGTAATATTTTATTTTGTAAATATTAATTATAAATACAATGCTAAGTAATAAGTTTTCTTACCTATATAATTTAAAAATTATGTTATCATTCTATTAAATGTCCATAAATGTCTATAAATGTCTCGCCATGTATTTCATGTGTGTTTCGCTAATTATTCTATTGTTTCTTATTATATTTTATTAATAGCAATTAGCGTATTAGTTAAGTAAAAAAATGAACTAATAAACATTCATACCAATAAAATATACAAATTAATTATAAATAAGCATATTTTTATTATTAGAATTAATGTTTTGTTAATAATAACAAATGTATTTATATTTTAAAAACTAATTTAATAATTAATACAAATGTATTTACCATAAATATGCTAATAAGTTGGTAATTGGGTGCAATTAGTTAAAATCGTCATTTTATATGGTACTTAATAAAATGGTGTTAACTACGGCAATTTCTATTTTCACCTCTATATTTGGTAGGAAAAATAGGATTTGGTGGAAAAAATAGGAAATGGGGTTGAGTATTTGGTGATTGGGGTTGACCCGGTGGGAGGCTAAACCAATCTCTATATTTTAGT